GCGCATGCACGACCCACGCACGAGTGCACATGCGTGCTATCCCGCGAGATCAACGCACGCCGACCAGACCCTGTTGGTGCACCCCATTCAGCCAGTGTTTGTACCGATTCGCGACATGTACTTACCTAGTTCTCCGGAGCGTACCGAGCCTCCACGGCGCGCCACTCTTCATCCGTCATGCCCAGAGCTTGAGCGTCCTCAAGAAGGCGTGCGTGCTGTTCGAGCTGGTCGCGCATGAGCTCGCACGATTCCGCCTGGCGTGCGAGGAGATCCATGAGCTCCTGGTGCGCTCTCAGACCCTCGGCCGTGAGGGTCCGAACCTCCTCCGGGTCCTGGCTTTCGAGCTCATCGCGAGCTTCCTCCGCTTGCAGCGCGTAGTCGCTTGCACGCCAGTACAGAGACTCGATCTCCGTGGCAAGGGTGCGCTCTGGCTCCAGGGCGGGAACAGGCCCGGTGACGGTGTGGGTCATCTCGATGGGGCCCGTTATGGTCGGAGGATCGATCAAGCGAAAAAAGGCGGCCAACCTTGAGATATTCTCGATATTCTGTAACATGCGTGGTTGGTGAGCCGGCACTACAACACGCGGCCAGCGCATACCTGTGCCTCCATGTTCCGGATGTGATCAAAATGATGGCCATCTATATCTGTGAACCCAAGGAATACAATCCCGTTGCCGTTAGGGAGCCCCAACGATGGCGCGGGATATCTGTCGTCCACCTCCTCGAGATCTGGGAGGTTGCCCCATACGGACTCATCGTCATTGTCGCTTGTGCCGTCCGTCATTTCCTGCGGAGTTGTGCTGTACCAGTTGGAGCGTGTCGGCGTGGGCATCTTTTAACGTGTTAGTAAGGTGTAGGTAGAGAGCAATATATGGACCGACGCACGATGCACTGCTGTATTGACGGTGGAAGAGGCGATGAGGGCGTCGAGGGCAGAAATTTAGTGTTCAGATATGGGCCTTCTCCGCGTGGATGTGGCATGCGCGACCCTGCACATCGCCGTCTGAGGTGTCACCGAGTCCGCACGCCAGTCGGGTACCCATACGCGCGCATAATACTTACGTTTATTCTGCTTTTATTGTCCGTGCTCGTTCTTTGCGACATCGCGGAGAGCAGCGTCCTCCAGAGGCCATACATTGCTGTCAGTGGAGGATGTAGTGCATGGTATATTAATTGAACCATGCATCTAGCGATGGTCTTTCGCACGTGAGTCGGTAGGTACAGGTAATGAGTACGCCGTGTGTCCCACAGGGTGTGCGGGAGAGCACACGTGTGCTGTCCCGCACCCCCGACTCGGATAGAGGGCCCGGGAGAGCACACGTGTGCTGTCCCGCACTTTAGACGCCCATGCGAGAGAGTGCATTTGCACCACTCTGCGGTGTACGGTGTTAGTTGCAGAAGTGATTGTCACAATGACCGTACGCACGAATAAACCCTCAGACGTGATGCCAATGGCTGTATATTGTCTTAAATACAACAAACATGCTGGGTTGCGCTGCGTACTATGCCCAGGGGATGCAGAGAGGTGTGCGGAATGTTGCCCAAATGCTGTGCCAGTCGGCGCCTAGGCGGGCGCTTCAGTAGCCCTGGCGCCTAATGGCTAGGACTAACCCTAGGGGAGACTTTTTTTGCCCCTGTTTATGGGCCGATGTCCGCGCACGTTCTAAAGTACCCATTACGTCGTATCGAAACGCCGAGGGGAAACCCTGCACCATCGAGCATGCAGCAGGGGTGCACGTGGATAGCTGGGAGGTCGATCCCTCAGTCCTATCAGAGTTTAACTACCTGATCAGTGACCTGTACCCGATCGCTCGTCGCTGCATCACCATCGTCGAGATGCGCGACTTCGCAATGCAAGCAAAGATCGAGAAGAAGAAGGCCACTGAGAAGTCGGCTGACGTTGAAATGGCCGACGCGACCAAACCCGGTCCGTCGATCCAGAGCCTGGTGGACAAAGCTGTCGCCGGGCGCGTCAAGCCGCTTGAGGGGAAGCTGAACAAGGTACGATCTAAGATTGTGCCCTCACAGCACCGCGCACTAACACGTGCACTTGCAGCTCTCGGTCAAGGGCGGCAAGACCCTCAACAAGAACCTCGTCGCGAAAAAGACCATCGCACAGGCGTCGACCAAGAAGTCGACGGGCCCCAAGCCGGGGCCTTCGAAGAAGACCACCCCCAAGCCGAGCGGCGGGAAGGACCCCAAGGGCAAGCGAAAGGCCGGTACGTATTCGGTCGCCCTCGCACCCTTCCCGACGCCGTATTAACTCTGACTCCTACCCAGGCAATTGAGTACGTACTCCTGAACACCCCCGTCGAGGTGTTAGAGGCGTCCCAGTTCAGGTCGTACGTTCATACGTCACCTGGTGTAGTTGTACCGGAACGAATCGCATATGACTTGTCCGTCGGCTTAAAATATATGTATCACTCGCAGCATTATACGTCGCTTATAAACGACGCGTGGAATGATTTTGAAAGACGCCTGAAATGGCGTATCATCTTCACTTTCAAAAATGGTGTGAATCGACCATATGATCCAGACTATGAAGTCGTCGATCCTTCTAAACCAAAGAAGAAGGCGCCTTTATTACCGCGTTGGATTGAACTCGGGTTCGAACATGGGCGGCGCTTCGTGCAACAAACGATCGCCAATATCCCTGCCGAACACGACCGTGGGCAACCAAGTAAATCGCTCGCCCCACGGCCTTCCGAGATTATGTCCTTTCTTAAAGAGCGCGACTACGTCGTCACTCTTACAGACAAGAATTTGGGACTCGCGGTGTCTGAGCGTACCTGGATCATTGATCAAACAAATAAGCTTTTAAGTAATCCTAACGATTACGAGCCATTAACGCCGGCTCAAGCTAAACGATTATTTGATCAGAAACAAACCGAAGTCAAGGCTATAGCGACCCTAACGGAAGATCATCTTGACTTGTACGAACTGAAAGTACACGAGTTCTTGCGCTCGAAATGTACTCAGGATGGCGCGGAACATAAGTTCCCGCAATTTTATGGTATCCCTAAGATACATAAAAACCCGCCCGGATTCAGGCCAATTGTGCCGTGTTTCGGCGTCATCACCGGACCCTGCGGTAAATTTGTTTCTAAAAATCTTAAACCGCTCATTAAAGCGGCGCCAACCGTGATCCACGGATCCAAAGATTTGGTGTTAAAATTAAGTAAGCTTCGGCTCCCCGTTCCGCCGTTCGGCGACAAGTGGTATCTAGTCACCGGCGACGTCGTCGCGTTCTACCCTAACATTCCGTTAGAACCCTGTATTGATATCGTTTACAATATGTGGCTCGAACACACATTTGATGCTATGGAATTTAACGCGACGGACGAAGAAAACGGAGTATATCTCGGGTACCTCGGAGGTCAACATAGATTACTCGCGCAAATATTCAAACGGGCGCTGCTAGTTAGCAGTACGAAGCTTGTATGTCAGTTTCAAGGACAGCATTCTTTACAAAAACGGGGCCTCGCTATGGGAGTCCCGGAATCTCCAGATCTGGCTAATCTTTACGGTTACCATTTCGAGAAAAAATGCAACGTCCTTAACGACCCTAGAATCGCTTTCTATGGTCGTTACATCGATGATTGCTTTGCTATTGTTAGCGCCGCGAGTAGCGAAGCGGCGCGTCAATACATGGCGAACAAAGTACAATTCGATGGCTGCCAAATTCTGTGGGAAGTATCGGCACAGCGGTGTAACTTTTTAGACGCCACCTTCTATTTCGGACTCGATGGGTCTTTGCAATGGAAAGCGTATCGCAAACCGAACAACCACATGGAGAGAATTCCATGGATATCTGGCCACCCCCTCGACGTTAAGCGGGGTACCTTTATAGGCGAGATGTCGCGTTTAGCAACGCTTAGTAGTCTTTTTCCGAGCTACTTAGACAGCGTGAGGGAGTTAGTTGCCCTTTACGTGAAGCGTGGCTATCCGCAAGACCTTGTTGCAAATTGGGTTAAGAAACACCTTAAAGAACGTTGGGAAAAGCGTCTGAGCGAGAAAGACGAAACGCGCACTGAAAGCGACGTCCTTGTTCTTAAATCCCAATACAACACGGCCTGGAATTACTTCAACGCCAAGGAACTTGGAGACACTATTTTAGGATACTGGCGGGATTGGCACGAACGTGCCGACCGCGGCCTCAATACTTATCATACAAATATTGAATGGCCACGCCCTACCCGGATCTGGGAAGGTATCAAAGACGTGGACTCCGCCCTCCAAACGGAGGTGTCGGATACCGTCGGCGGTACCATCCTGATACCGGATATGCGAAAAATCGGTATTCTTAACAGACGAGTAATTGTGAGTCGCAAACGCGGCCGCAATATGTTCGACCTTACCAATCTTTGGAAGAAAATAGTTCTCGAAAAGCTCGATGAAAAGGTTAGCGAAGAGGAGATAAGCACCCCTCTCGTGCAACCAACTGCTACCGCCGGACCGTCCGGTTCTTATGACATACGATCTTATTTCGTAAACCACCGTGAGAACATGCACCGGCGTTCACCGTCCCCCAATAAGCCCCAGTTCTAGTTGCGTGCTTGCGCAGCGGGTGCGCCGGGGTATGTCGCGCAAGCGATGCGGGGAAAACAGGTCATCGCATTCAGTTACCTTCCTCCAGATGCCCGCGCTGGCCCTTTAAGCCGCCAGGAGCCTGGGACACCGGAACGCGCACATGGTCCATTAAGATCTCAACCATCACTCCCATGCATAGGGACGTGTGGGATCCGCCTTCGGGCGGAGCCAGTGTAGAAGCGATTTGCAACAGGACCCAGTTTAAAGTGACCCCGGTTTACCTGCTCATTGAGGGTGGCCTTGCTAGCGCGAG